CTTTAGCCTGTGTTGTGGCTCTGTTCACAATGTTTTGTCAGACATCCTGGGGATGACCAACCTGTCTGTAAGGTGGGTGCCTAGAATGTTTTCTGAACATCAGAAGTTAAACAAGCTGGACATTTCAAGGAACGAATTCAGTCCAATCCATGCAATTACCTCAAAACATTTTTCACCCAAGATGAGACATGGTTTCACCACTTTCACTTTGAAGAATGTTTCCCGGCCCCCAAGAAGTTTTATCGAGTTTCATCCGTTGACAGGGGTTTTGTCTCTGTTTTCTGGGACAGCAAGGGAGTAATCATGACTGAATACCTGTGAATAGGTTAAAACATCAATGGGGAGTACTATTTAACAGAATAGCAACAGTTGAGGACAACGATCAAAGAGATAAGGAGAGGAAGTCACCGAGCTGGCGTGATGACAATGCACCTGTCCACACAGCACAGGGGTCAGTGACAGCAGCAAACGAATTTGGCTTTGAAGTCTAACCCCACCCTTCCAATTCACCTGACCTAGCACCCTCGGACTTCTACCTATTTCCTAAACTGAAGTTCCACTTACGTGGTCAACGTTTTTATGGTAATGATGACGTCATCAGTGCGGGTGAGCCCTATCTGGGGGCTCCAGATTCAACCTTCTTCCACAAGGGGAAAACAAACCCGGAACATCACTGGACCAAGTGCATTGCAGTTAGAGGGGACTATGTTGAAACATAGTGTAAGAAATTTTTTTCTGCCACGACGTTTTCTAGGTGAGGCCGAGAACTTTTTGATCCACCCTCGTATTAGGCGAACTTTGAAACCTTAGTCTGAAAACCCTATGGGATCTCAATTTTGAATTCATATACATGTATCATTAAAAGCTTACTTGTTTTATTCTTTTTCAATTATATAATATTTAATTAAGTTAGCTTAAAATGTCCAAAATAGTAATAAAGAATTCACACTCTGTTGCAGCAATATCATCGAAAACGTAGAAAACCAGTGGTACCGGTGTAAGTTTCGCCTTTGTCCAGATTCATATATGTAAGTCCTACATATTTTGTTCTTTGTAACATACGTAACATAAGATTAATATCATGATGTGCAGATCATGTAAACTATGGCTTCCTTTAACTAGATCTAATGAGAACATGTTATCATTTTATAATTCATTGGTGTAACAATTTGCATAATCAATGATTTAGTATTAATTGGTACCCAATGTGTATGATCAACGAGAAAACTGGAAAGCTGTTATAGAAAGCTATAATCATAATACCTTATTATGTTTAAGGCTTCGCAGAATAAAAATATTGTTTTTGCTCTGTTTCTTCTTCCTCTTCTCCCTTTTCTCCACACATATGAGGTCAATGACCTGAACCAGGCGTCTGTCACCATAGTAACTAGTGTTGGGTTACATCATGTTGAAGTTTTATAGTAGGAGGGATTTAGACTCCTGTCACCATATACTAGTATATGAATGTGTTTGAGTAAAAATTAACAGAGCAGACCATATGTGAAGGTAAACATTATGCATTTACTTTGCTTCAGACGTTGATTGAACCGACTGAAGCCATGTGGTCCAGCAGCAGCTCCAAGGGCGGCGGCACGGGGGCGGGCGGGTCCGGCGGGGCACGGCCACCTCACGACATCACCAGCCAGCAGGGCCTCCGTCAGCTGTACAACAGCAACGTGGTCCACGCCGAACAGCTCAAGCGACCGCTAGGGAACAGCACCACGATGGTGGGGCCATTCTACCACACTGGCGCTCGGGTCACTCTAGAAGACGGCAGTAAATATCTGGTTCACAAAGGGGATGGGTACGGGGTTAGCTCCCAAACCGTGGTCACCGATGCTAAGCACATGGGGGATAGATGGGTGCCAGTAGGGAGGGGGCACGATGTGAAAGGGTCCACCGTTTCTGACTTTGTCAAAGCGGGTGGGAAAAATTACTCTTATGGTAGTGATAACTGCCAACATGGTGCAGGCCGGATGATGGATCTTTCTGAAGGGCGGCACCCCCTTGATCGTCTGATGAACCCGCGAAAAAAGTAATAAAATCTAGTTCAGAGATGCGTTGTAGGATAGGCAACAGCAGGCACAGCACTAAAGGCAATGGCAGTTCGGCTGGTCGACTTTCGAGCCAATCTATGTCAACATTATTAGAATATTAGCACAATGTGATCTTGGTTTAATGCCACTGCTGGCGATAGGCGAGCACCCAACGGCAAAATTAGTACTACTCAAACAAAACAGAAATGAAAACCCCCAAATTCAATTTTTTTTGTACAACGACAGTGGAAATAAAGAATTAGCAATGTATTGTTAGGCTCGTACAAGGTGTTATTATGTGTTCTACATGTATTAGGATTAACGATATAAGCTATAATAATAAATGCTTCCGCTGTGCATTTACCTTATTGCCTGGTTCTTATCTCTGGTATTAAAACTTTAAAGTAGTTCTTCTAGAAATCAGACTCCTA